ATGCAACAGACAGACAGCGCAGCACAGCACACAGAGTGGTTACCGACAGCGGACAGCCGACAGCGAAGGAGATATAAAAAATAAATAGGCGTTAGCCTCCGTCGAAATAATTATAGCGAGCGCACAGCAGCACAGCAGCGCCACTCAGTCAATGCGTCACACTAGCACTGCAGCTCCCGCACAACGCGTCGCAAAAACACTGAGAACACAACTCGCCTTGAGAAAAGTCACCGAGCGATTGCGCTCGTGCTACCAGCGCCCGCGAGAGAAAATAGAGTCAGCATGGCGAACTGAATTGCGCGAGAAAATAGCACGGGGGATAGAGAAACGGGACGATGGAAATAGGCTAGCGGATGGAGAGGGACAAGGAGATGCACGCACCGTTATTGGGGTGAGTCTCGATCTTGCAGTGACCCATGGCGGGAGTCTTTGGACGTGGTCAATGTAATGCAGTTGTTCAGTAGAGCAGCAGGTCGTGTTGGACACGGCAGCAAATATTGAAGGAGTTGTTCTTGCAACAGCAGACTCTGCAGTGGAAGCTAGTCGTGAGAGAGAGGAGAGAGATGGCAGGAAGAAAGCAAGAGATGTTGAGAGAGAGAAAAGCAGAAGGCAAAGTGAAACGAGATAAGTAAAAACCAACACACACGTGATCACTTTAGTTGGTGGGAAAATGGACTCGTCGATTTTCTGACGTTTATCTTGCTAGGCAGAAAAAACTTCCAAGTATTTAAGAAATCAAGAACAATATTAGAAGTTATGATAATTTCCACTTACTTGTAATGACTTCTAATGTTATTAGAATACTTGGTTAATCTTGTATTTGTTTTGTAATTCTTGTCTGACTCTTGTATTTGTTTTGTAATTCTTATCCAACTCTTGTATGACATTGCATTTATATCAAATAATTACATAAGATTATATTCAAATAAGAATTCTGTCCCTATATTGTAATTTTAAAATAAGTATACTACTAACATGTATGTATTTATATTTAATTGTATAGTTTACTAATACTTAATCTACCTTGCCATATCTAGAAGGGTATACAAGATTTTTTCATGTTTTGTGATGCTTACAGGTCCTTGAATAAGCAATCAAAGCCACAATAAAAATAATTTTTCTTACAAAAAATACCAAACTGTATTATCCACTTGCAACATATGCTCCGTTACCGTTACATTACACAAAATAGGCAACACAACAGGTCCACCATGACCCATTACCGTTGCCTACATACAGTCGGTTACAGTAGTAGTAAGCTTACAATGTAATTCTGATCATACGGATGGCACGTGACTGCCGGGCACGAACCAAAGTCTTTGCAGGATGCAGTCATCTGTCAATTCTCGCTGCAAAACTATCCTTTTGATTACCATACGCCGCCTTTTCGAGGTCGGGTGAGATCTTTAGACGCCCATCCAGCATGCGACCCAACGCGTTTACGAACATCGCAGGATAAAATCGTCGCCCTAGGCCTCTCCTGATTTTCTAGATTTGGACAATCACGTAAACATGATAAAGCGAATCGCTTCTACCCGTGCGACATGAGTGACTCAAGCGTGTAGTACTCGCCAACAAAGGTAGGAAAGTAGAAAACGAGATGCGTTCGAGACATACGGGAATTTAACCTGGGTTCCGGCATAGCACTGCCCAATACATATCGAAGCTTAAGGATCAGCACGTCAATTCAGCGTGCCCGGGCGTCTATTCTGCGGAGCGCTAATACACGCCCCTACCAGCAGGATTCAGCGCGCTGCCTCCGCTTTAACTGCAAGCCACTTGCTCTCTGTGTACAGTATCGTCCCGTCCATTGTAGCAGCAGCGCTGCCCCCGTTTGAAGTTCAAGCCATCGCTCCAATCGTCCTTCATGAATACTTCGTACGATTCGGTTGATACTCTGGTGAATACAGCCATGGTGAATGCACACTCTAATCAAGTTGCCATATTCTGGGACTTCGGTGAGTTAGGTACTTCAAGCATTGTAATCGCCGTAACACTAACTCGAGCGTCAATTCGGTTTAGAAAACTGTCGCCCTCCATCCAACATTTCTGGAACGGAAGTAGTGGAAAAGATACGGTCCCTCGTTCAATACTTTGGGCGAATAATAACATTCAAGGCATATGCCGATGTTTCACTGATTTTCGCGGGCTCGAAATCTAACAATCTGCAATCCGAGCTCCAGTCGTCTGGGCTTACACTCGTTCATTGCCCACACAATGGCAGAAAGGACGTTGCAGACAAAATGATGATAGGTATGATTATTTGATGGATTTTTGAATTATCATTGACTTTTCTCGCAGTGGATATGCTTGCCTTTGTAATTGACAGACCACAAACTACGACTATTGTCATTATTACTGGTGATCGTGACTTCACCTATGCAGCAGGTGTTCTCAAACTGCGCGGCTACCGTATTATTGTTATCGCCACTATGCATAACGCACATAGCAGCCTAAAACTACAGGCTGACTATTTGTTTGATTGGAACAAGGACGTATTGGATGAAGCGAATTCAGGAGTTGTACTTAAACGTCTCAAAGCTGACAACTTACGACCAAGCGGAGCACCTTCTTCTGGGGTTGCGTTGCATCCTCGTCGAGAAAGCACTCCTTCTACTATAGCTGTATCGGAAAGTGCAATGGAAAAGTGGGAACTTCTGGCTACATCGCAGGATGAGCCCGCCGTTGAAGAAGACTTGAGATCCTGTTGCCGTGCGAGCCCGACGTTTGATGGATCGAGTAGCTCGAGCGACATCAGCTTTGAGGAAATAGGCGAGGATTTCCCGGAGGAGACATGGCTTGATGTCTCATCAGCTGGACGTTCTGGAAACGGCAGAAACGCAAACAGGGTGCCAAATTCACCGCGATTTCAACCATGCAAGGACCAGATAATAGATGTTCCTGCTCGACCATCAGCGGTTCCGGCTCCCTCTCTCGAACGATCAGAATCGGCACTGATAAGTCCCGTTGACTTTGAGATGGTATCCGTATGGTCTGCCACAGATGATGGCTGGATGACACCAAGGTCAGACAGGTCTTTCGAACTCGACGCAGAGGACATGGGACCGCGTGACTTGGTGCCGTCGAAAAACGAGGGCTTCGATTCGGGCGTTCTAAGATCTTTGGATTCTCCCTCTGCACACTTGGACGGTAACACGAGTAATTTCGTCGACCCGGCAAGCAGAAAACCGCTTTTACCAGTTCACGAGAGCAACGACGAAGAGCGAGTCTCCGCAATTCCTCCTCTCATTCTGACAGACGCTGCGTCGCACGTCTCAGTAGGGGTGGAAACCCAACTCTCTTCTCTGCATGATGCAGCAGATGTGCCAAGTCAGCCGACAGAAGTTACTACAAAGGACATACTTGATGCTCCTGATCCCGACTCCAACTCTGAGAATTCGTCTTCGTCCGTGTCCTTGTCTGCGAAGGATGTCCGTCCGTCAGGTCCGTCCGGTGCTATCAGTCCCTCAGCAAGTTCTGTTCCTGCACCTTCGAGAAATGCTGGCTGTATTGCTACTCCATCTCAGATGGTCTCGAAAGCGACAACGATCATAGCGCGTCCATCCCCAGATACCGCGGCCGTTCAGCGATTCCAGACAATTGTATCCTATTTCAGGGAGAGAAGAGCGTCTGATGGTGCCACTCGGATTTGTACATCGGAGTTCGCCCAAGAACTGTTGAAACGCGATCCTAAAATGTACAAGAAAGCAGGGGTGTCAAGGCTAAAGCGCTTCCTTGAAGAAGCCGAGAAATCGTTCGTTGTTTTCTGCTCTGACTGGGAAGCAGGGAGTGCATGGGTGGAGATAAATCCTTGCTTGTATCCTGATACACGATCGCCTCAATCCTCGCGTGACACTGTGACGTTGGCCATAGTAAAACCAGAAACAGCGTCAAAGGCAGATTCTACAATGTCTGTCGATGCAGTCTATCGCCCGCTTGTTGACTGCCTAAATACAAGGGGCACCCACTGTCTAACGTATACTGCAGCTGGCGTAGCATTGCTGGGGATTCATCCTAATCTGTACAAAGAGGCTGGTACTTCAAGTCTTTCCACGTACCTTGAGAAGGCGGAGAAGCAAGGCATTGTCCGCCTTGGGAGTATACGCGGACCTGGTACAGAATGGGTTGAACTCTTGCCAGCCTTTCACAACTCTCTCTCTCTCTCTTTAACGATATGACGTGTCTGCACTAACGGCAAGGATAATCTTAATGTAGCATTATCTTCGTGTATCTTGTCTTTCCTTGTACTTTAAATAGCTGTGCTATACCTTCGGGTTGATTAATGTATTTGTAGTACCCCTCCGGGCACCGCACTGAAAACAAAGGTCCACGATTGGAGATGTTGCTTGCCTTATTAGAAAGTCAAAGATGAAGGTATTAACCCTCGGCGAGAAACAGTTTTCCAAGTCCAAGAAATGGGTCTATTCCACTCGAACACAATTGCATCTCCGTAACAAAAAAGACTTCACTATGACACTGTACTAATCATCGCCCATCATCATCTCAAGATTAGACACAACCTTCAGACGACCGTCTAGCATGCAACAAAGCGGGTCCACGTATATTGCATAATTATTCGCCGTTGGTCTCCTGATGTTCCAGACACGTATGATCACATAAATGTCTCGCATGAATTTATTCCCATTCGCAATACGTGAGTACCTCAAGGCCTATTGTATTCATCAGTAAAGCTGCGAGCAATGAAGAGAGTCAACAATGCCTACCGTATCAAACTGTCGTTTACTCAGATGGAATGGCTCATGTGAACCACTTGATGTCGATTTCACTTCAATATGATATGTAGGATACCATTCTTCACTAAACATCTCAGGTTCGCCCTTGAATAGAAGCTCTGTCAAGATTCCATATTGGTCTTCAAATCTAAAATCTGCAATGCTCGGTCCTTCAAATCCATCGAATCCAGGGTTAAGACCGCGAAGTTCGCTAGTCCAATTATCAGGACCAAATGTGGGACCGATCATATTCAAAAGCAGCTCATATACCTAGAAGTAGATGTTAGGCAACACAGGGACATAGATTACGGGAACTCATACATATCGTTCTCCAAGGACGCCGTTCATCTGTTGGAACTGTGACGGCTCAGGAGACAAGAACATCCTCAACGGTGAACTCGATCCACCGATAGACTCAAACAGTATGGAATGAGACGCGTCTGTAGACAAATCGAGATTTCTGGTTGATTCGGAAGTCCCGGATGTAACTGGAAGTGAACTCCTTGAATTCTGTACACTTGCCACAACCTTGTTAGACACATGCGCGGCTAACTGGCAAGACTCTGTCGAAACATATTCGGAAGTACTTTGCAATGCATGCATTGAGGAAGGCCTTAGGCCAACAACACGGGCAGACGAAATCGACAATTCAGAAAAACATCCCAGAATATCATCTATCTCCTTCTGTATATCTTGCCCCTGTATTGAGCGCTCGAATGCTACATTATTTACTTCCATAGATAGTCCAGTAGTTTTGGTGGGTTGATAACGATTGCTCTGTTTGACCAGAGACTTGACTGCCTTGGATGTTGACACAACACGAGTCGGGTTGGAGGTCATCCATGAATCGTTGTCTTGGGCTGCATCGGAGGTAACTTTGTCAATGCCTTCTTCTTGGAAGTATTCGTCTAGATCGAAAGCTTCCAGTTTCATGCAGAGCAGAAGCTTCTCATACTTGCAATTAAGTAATCCACTTAAACGCTTGCATACACTGCGGTGTGCTCGACTGGAAGCTCCTAGGCCATTGCAAGCCTTTCTGCTGATGAGGACACGTATAAAAGAGTCTTCTTCGTCAACGTGCAATAGCTCGGAGTCGGTAGTAATGGGAGCAACATTGTCCAGAGTGAACGTAGAGGTAATGCTATTGACCATGTAGATGCGCATCTCTTGCACCTTGGAAAGCCCTTCAAGTTGATATTGCGAAGGTTGTTGCAAGGATGTACTATAGACCAACCTTCACCTTAAAGTTAGCGGCCAACTGTGAAAGTTATGATGCTGAGACTAACCTTTCGAAAAACCTGTATTTGCTAGTATATGCAGCAGTGAGTTGCTCATCGAGTTCACGATCCCCGATGGACACCACTTGATGGTCGAGGGAGCATTGCAGATAACGTGCCAAACCCTCAGATTTCGCCAGCTCCAACAGATATGTGATCCTTGCCAGCTCAGCTCCCTTTTCCGAGGACGCCAGCTCCAAGATAGGAGCCTTGCCCCGAAAGAGACCGGTGTAAAAGCCCGAATGGTCCGGAATAAAAATGTCTGCAAGTTTCTGCAGCTTGATTCCGGGCAGTGAGCTAGTGGATGGGAAGATCATGGACTCTTGCAATAAATGGTGTACGTTATTGTAATCCAATCGATTGGCCTTCAGCAACCTTGCAAGGTCGATCAGCATGAAAGTTACCAGCCGATGCACATCGTTCGTTATGGCCTTATCCAACCACTCCCTAGAAATGGTCTTCAGTTCATCAACAAGAACTTCGGGTGGCGCATTCGGTAAACCAAGCTTCTCCTGGAAGAACTCCCTTAAGTCGGGATATAGTGAACGTAGTGCAATTTTGGACGTCATGGATGATGGACCGTCCCAATAAACTTCCGACAGATTCAGCCAGGCTACAGCCTGTCCCTTGCTCGAGTTGCTAAAGTTGGCGGCAAAGACAAGAGGGTGGCGGTTAAATGCGTCCCTTAAATGAGTGAAATATTAGCCACTGACAGATGAAAACAGCAGGAATTCACATACCGGATCCGTTCTGTGTCTTCGTAGAAACGAGCGTCAAGTTGCTTGTAGATGTTCTTAATGGTTTTCTGGTCGTCTAGTCCCTGGAGTTGGTGATGAATAAGCAATTTGACGTAGAATGAGGTATCTGCCGCGATTGTTACTCCGACTCGACCAAGAAAGTCCCAACCCCGAGATTCGGGATCGGATACCGGTAGGAAAGGTAACTCAGGATGCTGAGCCAAAACTCTGCGCTTCAGGAAGGTGGAGTTCAACCTGTAATCACTATTATTATCCATTTTGACAGTCATGGACCCCAGTTTGCCCAACCAAGAGAACGGCGATTTCGTTGACAATCGAGGCCAAAAATATCTGAGGGCGTCCAAGAACTCGCTCAAGCTCAACCGTTGTGACATTTCTTCGAATTCTGGAGAAAGGCAATCGTTTACAATGCGAGGAGCTAGGTTGAGTCGAACTGAGGATTGAAGCCAGGAAAGCCATTCGTCTCGTTCCTTCGCACAATATTGGAGCATATATTCAGGATGGATGAATCGAGCAGAAGATGGCAGGGCTTGCCGTAATCTGCCCTGATCGCTGGGTAAGTCCAGATAAAGTACATCACTAGTATCCGTATTCCCTTGCTCATCAGCAAATCTGAGACGTCCAGCTGGAGATGGTAGGTTTGAATAATGGTACATAAAGAAGAATTTTGCGTTCGTGATGTGTGCCTGGACTGGCAGACGTCCCTGATAGCTGAGTATCTTCTCTGCTATGAAGACTGGATCAGCCTGGCCCACTCCAAGGTGACGGAAAAGTGTATGTCGTGTGGGTGATGAAGACGGGCAGACACAGGAATGGATCCGGCGCAAGTCAATATGGGCTGGTATTCCTTGCATGTCGCAATCGAAGACGAAGTTGCCAGCTTTATGCGTAGCCGCCCACGATCCATCGTCAAGGGGCAGAATCTTAAGCCCCTGGAGTTTCTTGTTTCGTTTCGCAACATGTAATAATTGCGAGCAGACAGCATCATGCCACCTGTTATTGTGCGCCATAAAGTGATTCGAAGACATGGCTTGGAGACCGGTCAGAAGGTCATCTACAGTCATTTCACGTACCCCCAGCTGCTTAAGAATAGGACCGTCAGCCAACATGTCGTAATTATCTGATAGATAATAAAAGCCGGATCGCTCCATGAACCTTGCTGGGACCAGTGGTGTGAAATCATAGCGAAATGTCGATGGAACAGACAGAACTTGGCATGGCCGTCGGACAGCACCACTGCTATCTCGTACAACATTCATTTCTCGAAGATCCCTAAGGAGATCACGTTCAACAGCCTTGAAGAAAGAACCGACAATCCCTGATGGCAAGAAGCGAATCCAAAGGTCTTGCAAAGTACCCTGCGTTTGGAATGCTCTGACAGCTGTGATGAAAGTCTGTATGATAGCCCTACGGATATTCTGGTTCCAAGGTGAATCGTGGAGCACATCTTCCCTACTCGAGGATGTAAGAAAATCTCCGTTGATAACAAACTTTACACCGTGTGATTAGCTGTTGACCAAAGCTGAATATTACCATAACTAATGCAACGTACTTTAAAGCCGAAATCCCGCACTGGCAAGAAAGCGTGAACGTCTTGTGCGAAAATTTGAGGCAGGTGTTCATCATCGACCGGGAACGCAAGCACAACCTCTGTCTCTTTAATGTCTTTCCGCCTGTCATCACGCACACTAGACATGTCGACACATTGTCGCACCACGAAATAAGTATTCTTATTGAGAATAGTCCCGTTGGCAATACGAGTGAGCTGGACTAAATCGGAATTAAGATCTCTACGCTTGATCTCGACCTGCCGAGGACTACCAGTCCTAATGTCGACTTCAATTGCTCGAAGCTTTCTCAGGAAAAGCAGTAACGAAGGCTTGATTTCGTCGAGCTTAACTCCGATAGCAGTACCGGAACCAGGAGACCGCGAGAGATCCAGGTAGAAAGTCGTCCAGCCATGGTCCGCAACAACTGAGGGGTCCCATATAGGTGTGATCATTCCGAGTCGCTTCGACCGATCAAACTTGAAGGTAAAGGGTCCAGAGGCGACATTCACTATATCCGCGACTTTGAAGACAGACTTGAACCCTACCAGAACGGGCTGTCATTACATATATTGTGTAAATAGTAAAATGCCACTCACCTATTCCCTTCTCACCTATGATTATGTACTCATACGTAAGTACTGGAAAGGTTAGGAGAAAGCGTGACCTCACCAATGAATCCTGGATTATTCTTTTTCGTACTACCACCAATTTTGCATATGGCGCGTACATTCTTCTCGTAGAACCCCTTCTCATTACAAGACAGCGTCATGCTAGTCTTATCCGCAAGTATGCGTAGTGTTGGTTCTATACCCTTTTCGTACTCGTTGTCATCTGCATTCTGGACGAACTCCATGATAAAATGCGTGTCTGTGCTGTATAGCTGCTCAGACAGCCTATATATTATCCTTGTCAGCTTCAGAAGGCAACCGAAGTACGCTTACTCACAACTCAAGTGCCTGCTCCGTGATTTCCAGCAAATCGGATGGCAAATCCTCATCGACTTTGTACCTATTCCTTATGTCAAGGATAACGTTCTTCGCGTCCATGGTGTAAAGGCGCAGCAGAGTAGCGGTGTGCCCATGTCGTTCTACCTCCTTATATTGCCTTGACTAGTACCTCGTGTCAACATTTAAAATAAGACACATCGATGCAGAAGCATCTTTCGACTCAGAGTGCACGACCCAGAACGCACATGCTGTGATAAGAAACGAATTTCAGGATACAAAAACAGTAGCAATCAACACATGTCCAATCTTCCATTATCCGGACATGTCAAGTTGAGGTAACAGGAAGGGAATGAGGACACTTATGGGCGCCTATCCCTAGCTGGCAAACCAAGATTCATATATCCGAAGCCAACCTTGTAAGATGTGCCTGTTCTCACCTTGAGTACGGGCGTCTCCTGAAACGTGCCCATCAAGAATAAGCCATCTGTCACAGAGCTTTGCTTCTCTGTCCGTTCTCGGCTCCATATCTAGCTTCAAGTTGACCATGAGTATTAAAATGTGGTCAAAGACTGCACATATCTGAGGACAGAAAAGTGGTAGAATGAGACAGATGGGATGTGCAGTCGTGACCAAAAAAAAGGCACTGAGAACGTCACTGCTAGCACCCCAAATTGGACAATTGTTCCATCGCCATCCGGCAAAATTGACGCGCGAAGGCAGTTCATCGATACAGAACTTTAACTTATTATTGTTAGCGCCCCTCTTGCTTTGCTTTGGGTATTCCCAAGTACCTCCTCTTTTCTCAAAAATTGTGGCCTCTGAAATTACAAGCAGGTACAGTAAGCACACTGCCATTATTGGAAAATTACAGTATAGACTGCTATGTGAACTGTGAAATCATTCGCATGATCAAATCTTGTCTCAATCAATAGTTGTATATGTATATAAAAGTTGGGGTTCATACATACTGACTGTGTTTGCAGAGTAAAACCCTTTATTGAATGGGCATTTCTTTGGTTGTCACAATATCTGCTGATGTTCGTCCTGTAATTTTTATTATAATGGAAGAGTGCAGTCCGTAAAATTATAAAGCATTGCTCTGGACTCTGGATGTCCGTTCAGCATCCAACAAGGCAGGTCTATAAATACTGCACAAGAGTCAAGACTCTATCGTTGGTTTCCTGATACTCCAGAGCCCAGACACGTACAATCACAGAAATGCCTCACGAAAACTATTCTTAATGCAACATGTAGGTACATCTTAACAAAACAATGATTCTTATACTTTCATCCGTAGACCATAATCACGGATAGATCGGTATATGTAGGCACACCCCTTCATTTGAGCCATTAATCCATCTGATCCGTTCATACGCGAGGTACGCTCTTGTCAGAGCGGCGCACGTTTGCACTTCGACGAGGCACATTGGTCAAGGATTTGTTTGGGATTTATATTTCTTACAGTAAATGAATGGTTCAGCAGCACGTTTGTCGATGTGTCCAGGAAAGCATGTGGACATTTTGCAGGTGCAGGGGCAGGTTCTAGCCATATTGAGCCGTGTACAGGCCGATCATCAGGACGCAGACTGATGTCGACATCCACGTGCCTGTGACACTTCTATTCACCGTCAACCACAACCACAGTCAAGAAGAGTACTTCACCAATATGACAAGACGCTTTGCAGAAGAATATTCTGTTCAAGAAGCTGCGAATGTAACGCTGAACTTTATTGGGAGTGCCACACTGAAAAGAAGGGTAAACGCTGCGATCCTGCTCTTGGTCCAACAGGCATGGTAAAATACGCGCCTTCCATTTTCTTTGCCGAATCAACGTCCTTTGCTTCGCGCCGTCCCTTCCGCGGGGCAGATGACGCGCAAATTTTGCAATTAAATGACCAAACGAAACGAATTTTCGTTTACATGCACGCGCGGCGGTCGCTGACTACTACTGATAAAAATAAACGACTTCTGGACGATATAAAAGCGAGACGCTGACCAGAGTACAAAAGGTGCCGCCCTTCGCCGAGTCATTTGTCTCAGTTCGCGGGTTAGTCAATCCTTCACTAATAGCCATGGCTGGTCGTATTGGTGGTAGCTTGGCTTTGACTTTGCTTATCGCGCTTTTCCCGGGCGCGTTTGCCATTCGTTGGGTTGAGCGTGCCGCGTTCCAAGCATCCTCATTTGCTGGGGCAACGACTAGTGCCGTCTTTCCGGTACCGAACGCCACCAACGCAGCGTCTCAGTTCGATTCGTTCTTCCCTGAGGCGTCGGCAGTTGGATTCGCCGGGCCAACTCCCAGTACGTTCACTCTCAGCTCAACAAAGTATTTGCAACTTCGTTAATGCTCGTGTATGTAGCTGGTGATGAAGCGGAACTTGTCGCAACTGCAACCTCCGTACCAAAAGTCACAAATGCTGACCCTCTTATAAACCCGTCGACATCTGATAACAAGACCTCTTTTAATGTGCTCCGAAGTTTTGGGAACCTGTCTCCAATGTTCTCTGTTGACTCTCTTGGTCTTCGCAATGCGAGCATGCTTATTCCGGAAGGATGCGAGCTGACACAGGTGCATTTGCTTCACCGGCATGGTACGACGCGTTTCTTTTATTTCTGTCTATTCTATTTGTTCCTTCTTTGGTTATGTAGATATTAGTAATTCTGACTTGTCTATCAAGGTGCGAGATATCCAACTTCGGGATCGCTTCCGGCAGCTTTCGCTACAAAATTACACAATGCAACTGTTTCCGGGACTGGTTTCACGGCTTCCGGTGACCTTGCTTTTCTTAACACATGGCAATATAAGGTGAACTTTCATTCAACAAAACATTTCGCGTGAATACTCACGGGATTTTTCGGAATTCGTTTATCGTAGCTCGGTGCCGAAATTTTGACACCCTTTGGCCGTCAACAGCTGTAATCAATTTTCCTTTTTGCAACATTCTTGTCAAATGTTATCTAATAGTTCGGTTTTCATATTAGCTTCGACTTGGGAGTCTCGTTCCGAGTAAAATACGGAGAACTTTTGAAGGATTTTACGGGTCTTCCTGTTTTCAGGACGACATCGGAAGAACGAATGGTCCAGTCTGCGTAAGACTCTGACGTACCTTATCTATAAGTGGAAATTATAATGGTTTCTATTTAAAGTCTTAACTTCGCCGCTGGGTTCTTCGGGATTCCAGACTACCTGACGAACTATCGACAGCTCATAACAATTGAAAGCGATGGGTTCAATAATTCTTTAGCGGTCAACAACTGTGATAATCAAGGGAAGCCAGGGATTACCGATCTCGGAACGACGATGGCGAATAAATGGCGCGATGTGTATCTTCAGGACGCTCTTTCTCGGCTTGCACCACAGGTTCAAGGTTTGAACCTGACGACGAATGATATGTTGAGTATGCAGGAAGCTTGCGCTTATGAGGTGTGTTAGCACATTAAAAACAAACTCAAATTATGGACTAAGCCGATTCTCTTTACAGACGGTTGCTCTTGGAACGTCTGAATTCTGTGAACTCTTCACCGAAGATGAGTGGAAAGGCTTTAATTATTATCTCGGTAAGCGTTCGTCCGTTTGTGTATGGCATTACTTATACATTCCGTCATAGACCTTGATTTCTGGTACGGAAACGGCCCTGGAAATCCAACGACGGCAGCATTTGGAATTGGCTACGTACAAGAGCTAGTTGCACGACTTACCCAAACGCCGATTGCTGTGTTTAATACGTCGACGAATGCCACAATTGCAGATAGCAACATCACTTTCCCGCTTGACCAGCCGATATTCGTGGACGCGTCTCATGATACCGATATTTCTTCCAGTAAGCATTGGTGCCCGATCTTTTTAGGTTATGGGTCTATTGAACATGTATTCATAGTCGTGGTCGCCATGAATTTTACTTCCATGGCTGCGAATGGACCGCTTCCGATTGATCATATCCCAGATAATCAGGCAAGCAAATATTCATCTGTATCATCAGGCAGAGACATTAATAGCCTATCAGACTTACTTCTCAAATCAAATCGTACCTTTCGCGTCTCAACTCGTCGGACAGGTCCTGACGTGCCCCGCATCTTCCTACTCTTCGACAAAACAAATTCGCTGGCTCCTCAACGATGCCGTCGTCCCGCTTACAGGTATCACCGGCTGCCCCGAAGATGCAACCGGATTGTGTCCATTGGATGCGTTCATAAGTGCGATGCAAACACGACTTGCTGAGGTGGACTTTGCGTTCGACTGTTTTGGGAACTATACGGTTCCTGTTCCGGATACGATTGTGGATGGGCGCCCGCCCGCGAATCAAAGACCACAAAGTTGAAGGAGGGCTGAGCTTTTATCTCGAGGCGTTGTGTAGCTTGTGAAGAAGGATGGGCGCAGCACTGCGGCAGTTGCGGCATTATCCAGTACTTTGAGTACCTGTGTAATCAACTGTGTAATGAAATTGAGCTGTAGCGTACTCGAACAATCTGTGTTCTTTCCTTGGTGAACGCTATATAAGATCATCACTGTCGCTTATGTTGATGAGAATATCTCCTTGAAGTAGCAGAACGGATTGAGATTTCATTGAGTGAGTTAAAGAAGGCACTGGCTCAAAAGTCTTTTAGATACATAACTGTCTGGCTCTTCTGAGGTCTTATACATAGCAAAGTAATAAATACTGATAAAAGTGATTTTCCGTTGTGATTATAGTATGACTCTGATGATTGTTGATATCTACATCGCAATTAATCTACTTCAACTTTAATTATTTTATACACGAATAAGGTTGAGAGTCATTCAATGAACAAGTGCAGGTCCGATTAGAAGCTTCGAGCCTTCGCCAAATCACAACTTCAGAGCACATGTGCTGAGGAGCAAAGCGTCCGATCAATATCTTTGAACTATTCTAGACGATTGTATCAGCTCTGTATGGAGTGGTTCTATTGATTTATTTAAGATCAACTTGAAGTTCCATTATCAGAGTACTATCCCATCTAGGGAGTAATCAACTTTGAATTCAGTAAAATGTGTTTTGCTGTTATAAGTCCTGCTTGACCATGTCTAAGATACTAATAAGTAGAGTTGGCTTTCTGTACAATATTACGAACATTTAAGTGCTCCAGCTTTACTGAATCAATACCGTTTCAATGCTCTTTGATGATAACATGTAAAGCAGTTGTATCGAATTGAAGCATTGCTTTACATTTATAATAGAGCAAAACCCATCAGTTCTAAAGATACAATCTCAGAAGTCTTAAAACCTTTTGAATACCTTCGACTGCCAACAACATGTGGATTGAAGAGAATTTGGTCTAGATACAACACTCGCAGCTGCTCTGATGTTCTGGTGATCTGATGTCCTAGTGTCCTGATGTTCTAGACGTTTCAGATCATCCTGCCTCAAAGTACTCAATTACAATTAACATATATCTGCATATACTCGGAAGCGCAGATGATTACTCAGTACATGACAAGAAGACAGTGAGTTACTGACTTTTCAAAACATACAGTGTTTGGATACTTGTCATGATGTCTCAAAATGGTTTTATCAATTTTTTAGAGATATTATTATCATAGCATGATTAGTTTTCCTCCATTTCTGTGCATTATTAAAGGGATACTCATTCCTCTTACAAGCCACATCAGATTCCCATTACCGTATGAATGGTAACCTATCACTCTCGTTCTAGGTAAGAGCACCGGTGTCTGGCGCATTGAACGGATTCCTGGGGTACAAAACCTGAACAAAGGGTGGAAAGATGTAATCATGCATCAAAACGTACCTTTCAGTACCCCCTGTATATTACTGTCGTTTTCATAAATATTGTCACACGTGCAATTCGTGATTTTCGTCACACTAAGTACACTCAAATACAAAATCTACTATAACTCAACTAATACTTAACCAAATTACATGATCTAAGTTGTAAAAATTATACTTTTGAAGTATCTTTCATATTCCAGAAAAAATGAAGTAAAATGAGCAAAAATTGAGTAAGATACAACACAATATGTGAGTTTTCCCTATATTTCATGTATATGAGTTTTCCTGGCCCTAAAACTGATTGT